TGGCATATTTATTGAACTTATATTACACCAAAGAATCAAATCCTTTGGGCAAATTGATGTACAGTGTTTGCACATGTCATAAAAGCTGCGGGTGTATGGTGCTTTTTGGATTAGCATGAGCACCATAAGAACAAATATCTGAATCGTAGTATATATATTTCTTGTGAATTCTATTTATCGTGAGGATTGATGCGATTTCATATATATACGACATGTAGATACATATAAACCAAAAGCCGTAAGAAAGGAGCCGTTTAACTCTATCGTTGGCATCAGAGGGAACGAACTTGCTGACAGACTAGCAGTCTCTGGCAGGGGTATGCTCCCTAGTCCCATGATCATTGCACCTAGCCGTAATTTACTTCGGATGAAGAGTACTGGTGTCGCCAACTCCTTCCTCCTGCAGCTTCACAGAGAGGCAACGAGATCCTCCCCCTCGGCCAGATGGTATTCAGAAGCAACGGGCTATGAACCTCTGGCACTCTCTGAGTTAAAAAACAGACAAACCGAAGTTATTCTCCACAGAATGCGCCTATGTTACCATTGTCCGTGAAGAGAGGTGTTGCATGCATTGCGGCGAGCCGAACGCCACACTTATACATTACTTAGAGAATTGTGTATACACACAATTCCTGAGACAACAGGACCCCCGACAACAGCCGCCATGCTGGTAAGAGACTTTGCGATTCGCTTACCCCGTGGCAGCAGGAGCGCCTGCTGGCAATCCCACCGCCACGGTAAGCACCGAGTGCCATAGATCGAAATGAGTCAACCCTAAAAAGCTGACACAGGCCGGGCCATAGCCGAAGGCCCGGGCGAAGCTAGAACTTCGCAAATCACAATCGGGCTTCCCCCCCCCCCCTTCTCTCCTCTTCGCGATGGACAAAACAAACAGACATTGGAGCTGGTCTCGCTCAAGCTCCCCGCCCATCCCGTCCTCTGCTTGCTTTGCTCAATGCGCATGCGGCAAAGTGTATGAACAAAGAAGCTGAATTAACCAGGAGGTTAATGAATGAACAGAACAGTCAGGATAAGTGAAAAGTTAGGTTAGCAGAGAAAAGGTACAACTGATACATGGTGGGTAGAGATGCATAAAAGTAAGACAAATATGGACATAGATACATCGTAATTACAGAAATATGGATACGTGCTTTCCCAGTCTCGGGCATGCACACCCCTCGAGGCGCGCCACGTGGTTCTTATACGTGCTTGAATACACAGTATATATAGAGAGAGAGAGATTGTGAGAGAGAAACTAGCGAGCGAGAGAGAGAGAGAGAGAGAAAGAGAGAGAGAGAGATTGTGAGAGAGAAACTCGCGAGCGAGAGAGAGAGAGAGCGAGAGCGAGAGAGAGAGAGAGAGAGAGAGAGAGAGAGAGAGAGAGAGAGAGAGAGAGAGAGAGAGAAAGAGAGAGAGAGAGAGAGAGAGAGAGAGAGAGCGAGAGCGAGCGAGAGAGAGAGAGAGAGAGAGAGAGAGAGAGAGAGAGCGAGAGAGAGAGAGAGAGAGAAACTCGCGAGAGAGAGAGAGAGAGAAACTCGCGAGAGAGAGTGAGATAGAGAGATAGGCAGATAGATAGATAGAGAGAGAGAGAGGAAAGTAAAATTTGAAGATACAGAAAGACAGAGTGATATTACCGGCCGCGGCGAGGACGAGCGACCGACGGCGCTCGCATGACCGGTTTGGGTCTGCAGACACGACGGCAGGAGGGGGGCGGAGTGGGACTTCCCTGGGTGACGATGAGGCCTGCTGCGCCGCCCGTGTCGCTCGGCAGTGCTAGATGCTATCTCGAATCTCGTTAACGGGAAATTCGCTGTTCGTGTAGGGAAGGGAGGGCATGGCCGGGGGATCCCAGGGGGGACAAAATTCGCGTGTCTAGGTAAAAGACGGCGTGTCGGGAGATAGAGATGATAGCCTCACTACAAAATAAGAGAAATATAGAGAGAGAGAGAGAGAGAGAGAGAGAGAGAGAGAGAGAGAGAGAGAGAGAGAGAGAGAGAGTTGGAGGTATAAACAAACAGACATACATGCAAAGATAAACAAAACAGAAAAAAGAGAGACAGATAGATCATACGAACAGACACAGATATTGATAGAGATAGAGATATGAATATATACATATACATATGCACACGTGCACCTTTTTATACATGAGTATTTGGAGCTCAAGTAAGGAATGCGAAGGCGATGAGGAAGAACGGGATGGAGGGCAGCGACAGCGCTCTCACAAAGGAAGGGATGGGCGCCCCACAAGTCAGGGGAACTCGCCGGATTTCCTCTGTAGTGGCTAAGAAGAGCGGCCGTCCGCTGTAGCGCCGGAAGGAGAGTACGGAGTGAATGCAGGAGAGAGTTTTCGATTATTTCCAATCACTATTTTTTGAGTTGCCTTGGATATCTGAGCGATAACTATGTGGCGTGCGCATAGAGATCTAGCGGAAGAGGGAACTAAAGCGAGAAGGTAGCGAGATGTACAAAGACAAATGAAAGTTCAGATTAGTGACAA